CTCTTTCTTTATCCCGCCCTCTTTTTCTCCCTCTCTTTGTCTCTTTCTTCTTCTGCCCCTAATTTCATCCTTTCTTTCTCTTTCTCTTTTCTCTCTTCCTCTAATTTCCTTTCTATTTCTCTCTATCTTTCTATTTTTTCTCTTTCACTTTTTGCTTTTCTCTTTTCTGTATCCTTTATTTCCTCTCTTCCCCCTTTCTCTCTCTGTTCCTCTCTCTCTCTCTTTCTTCCTGTTTTCTCTGTCCGTCATTTCTTCTTCTTGCTTTTCTCTCTTCCTCTGTTTACCTTTCTATTTCTCTCTATTTTCTTTTCCTTTCTGCCTTTCTCTTTTCTGCATCCCTCATTTCTCTCTATATTTTCCTCTAGTTTTCTCTTCTCTTTCTTCTCTCTCTCTCTCTCTCTCTCTCTCTCTCTCTCATTTCCTTTCTCTTTCTCTCTCTATGTTTTTCTCTCTTTTTCTCTCCTCTCTCCCACCCCCTTTTCTCTATGATGGTAATCAGTTGACTATAAGACTCTAAAAATATTTCTGGAGCCCCATTGTGCTCCTCCTGAAGGTCAAAGGAACAGATGGGAAAAAAGGTGACGATGAGGATGAAGGAGGTGGAGAACAGCAGCCTACTCATCTGCTGCTCGTCTCTCTCTCTCTCTTATTTTCTTTTTCCATCACTAGACCCCATTCTTGTACCGTTCTCTCTCAAAAAGGCCACAGGACTGCTCAGCTGTACCTGATGATACAGTGTGGAGTGATTCGTATCTTCACTTTATTAAGTCAGACTCTCTGTAATGACTTTCTTTTGTTCTATTTCTGCACTTATCTAGTGGAATAAGCGTTTTGTCGGCTCCTAATTCAAATCTTGGTCGCCGCTCGTTTCTGCAGTGCAGCCGTGTGAAGGCTATGGCTGTGCATATTGAATGTCAGGGAAAAGGCAGAGTCTCTCAGCACTCATCTGCTGGATGACCCCATCGGTTACAGTTAGTCACCTTCAAAATGAGGGTTTTCTCTAGAGAGGTAAAGACAACAGCTAAAGAGGAAGTCCTCGTCCGGCCCAGCCCTTCACCCAGCTCTCAGAGAACACTGTGTCCCCCACTGGCTCAAGGTCACGGGCCTGGACACGCAAAGAGGAGAGGTGGCACTGGGACGAGAACTGGACCATACTGTGTTACGTTAAGTTCAAATTATTTCAGCCCAATTCTTTTTTGTAGTGCGTTTTACAAAGAAATTTGAGACCAGTGTCCCTAATGAATAAGCAGAGGACGACAGCGGCAAGGAAGAGTCCCTGAGAGCATGAGAGGAAAGAAACACTGAGTGGAACCAAGACTCAAAGGAAAAATCCGTCCTTCTCTGGACAACACCAGATAGCGGAATTAAAGAAATTAGATTAAACAGAGGCTCTCGAGTCAGACACAGGGGAGATCCATGAGATAAAGCAATGAACCAGTGATAGACGTCTATCAAAGATAAACTGTCCGAGATGTAGTGGTAAAAACACAAGGAGGTTAAACACTAAACATTATGACTGCAGAAATAAGCTTGGTTTCCTAATACAACACAGACACTGACAGACACTAACATTGCTTTAGCACAACATCCCATTAAAATGATCATTTATACATACTGCAATGTCATGTTTGGGGGTGGCAGGGCCGTTAAGGTGGAACTGACCCACATAAAAATGTGATTGGCCATTGCGGTTCCCCTTAATGAAGCTAGTAGCTGACAGGCTATTGGGTTGCCAGTTCTAGACAGGGCTGGGTATTGTCTTTATCTCAGCAGAGTGAATATGGTTCTATTCTATTCATATTTTATATGGTTCTATACTTTTACACTGCATGCAGAGAGTCAAATTTCATGACTATCCAACACTGACAGCACTGTGGCACTACCTGCAAAGCTTCTGTGACACTGTATTTTCTGCAAATGAAAACCATTGCATTGCTTCAAGTGACATGATGTGCATAACAAGCAAAAAAAAAAATAGACTTGCGGTTGTGATGCAGTTCTTTGGAGGAGTTTGTGAAATGTTTAGCGTGGGCCAGTGGTGTCCAACCCTGGTCCCGGAGAACTACCTTCCTACAGACTTTAGTTTCAATCAGTATCCAATTAGCTGCCCCATCCCTTACTCAGCTCTTATATATCTGATCCAGCCAATCAGGGACTTGGGAGGAGATCTACTAGCTGGAGGAGGGGTGGCAAATTGTGGTTGGATTAAGGCTCTGCAGAATGGTGGCTCTCCAGGTCCAGGGTTGGAGACCACTGGTTTAGGCCCCCAGTAAACACTGTAAAAAATTAGTTTCAACTCAGAAAAGGTAGTAACTAGATAGTTACTAGATATAGCAAGTCAACACAAGTTTAGATTTTTGATCTGTTAACCCCTTAAATGACAAGTGACCCAAAATTTATTACACACTTCTATAACCGAACAATAGCTCAAGCAGTTTGCACCGAAGTCCCTGTAGTTATTCAATAATAGGCATTAGTATGTAATAAGCCTATGTACCCTCCACTACATCTCTGAAAAGAGTCTACAAAGTACTATACATATATATTATGTATATACTGTTGTTGGAAGAAAACCTCATATCTCCAAAATAATAACTTTACAGGAGAAGAAAACCCTACTTTACTTTTAATGTAAGTCAGTGGAACCAGACATTTTTTCCAAGTAATTTTTGGCCATTTCCTTTAGTCCATTCTTCATGAAATTTACATACGATGTAAAGGACAACTGGCATTTTTAAATTTCAAAAACTGAAAAATGACAAAAGAAGATACAAGTTTTTTTTTCAGACAGCAGTAATATATATATATATATATATATATATATATATATATATATATATATATATATATATATATATATTACTGTCAGTCATGAAGTTAAATATAAATGATAGCAGGGAGTAGCAGGAGTGGTAATTGAATGTTCTCTAGAGCATCCAGGTGAAGCTGCATATCATAGCAGGAGGGCAAGCTGTGAGCTTTCATTACATTAAAATCATCAAAGGTACAGGGATTCAAAAATCATATTACAGAGACAGGGATCAGAGGTGTCCCTGCTGGGGGAATAGTGGAACTAATGAAGGGTCCTGGCTGGAGAGAGCTCTTGAAAGGCCTGGAAGTTTGCTTTGGTGTACAGTTTTACACTCCTAAGTAATTAGTGCCTGAAATAAATGAATAGTGGCAAAATAAATAGGTTGACACTGAGTTTCACTTCCATGAAAATATTGGAGTCTGTTCCAGTGTGCTCCTTTTCATGAAGCTCTCAATGCACAGTTCTTGTGCTGATGTTGCTTCCAGAGACAGTTTGGAACTCTGTAGTGAGTAATGCAACAGAAGACAGGTGATTTGTACGTGCTGTGTGCTTCAGCCCTTGGTAGCCCGCCCCTGTAAGTTTGCGTGGCCTACTGCTTCATGGCTGAGCTGTTGTTGCTCCTAGACACTTCCTTTTAAAATAATAGCACTTACAGTTGACTGGGACAGATCTAGCAGGGCAGAAATTTCATGAACTGGCTTGTGGCAAAGGTGGCAGTGCTGTGTTTAAAGTCACTCAGCTCTTCAGTATGACCCGCTCTATTTCCAGTATTTGTCTAAGGAGATTGCAGGGCTATGTGCTTGACTTTATACACCTGTTAGCAATGGGTGTGGCTAAAACATCTGTACTTAATACTTTGGGTGGTATCCATGTACTTTTGTACATTCTGATGAAGCTTATTTTGTCCTCTTATATGGCTGTAAGAAAATGTACTGTTTTAAATGGAAAATTTTCTTTAGCATTAAATTTAAGCAAATAAGACAACTGTGATTAAACATGATTAACTATACCAAATAACACAATTAATCACAATTAATTATTTTAATCATTTAACAGCCCTACATGAAACATGCTGATATTAGAAGCATTGAGATATAATAGCAGTCCAGTTGAAGTGCAGTGTTCCACATCACAGTGGATACCTGCTTAGGAGTTCTACAGTGAGAGGAAGTGGGCTCAGCGGGTTTAGGTAATCCTGAATCTCATAATGTCTTTCAGGAATGCAGCGCAGCAGGAGGGAGGCAGAGGCTACTGCTTTACTGTCCAATGCCTGACCGGGGCAGCGGTCAGTTTAGAGAGGAATTGCGGGGTGGACAGGGGAGAGGAGGCGGTGAAGAGAGCAGAGGAAGAGATGGGGGCAATGGGAAGAGGAAGGAAAGCACTATGAGTCTGCACGCATGGTGGGAGGCTGAGGAGAGCTGTTATCTCACACATTACACTCCTGACAGTGAAGTGAAGAAGTGAGGTGCTGTTTCTGCACCACCTGCAGAGAAGATTTAATTTAAAATCAAATGACATTTAACCACTCGGAGGTATTCCTACTCCTCAGGTGATGGAGCTGCTACATTCCCACCAAACACTGAAACTAAAAAGGTTTTCTTAACATGATTGTGGCAGGTTAGTGCATTAAATGGTAACATAATGCATTATTTTGTACTAGGATGTGATGAAGTGATGATGCTATGACAGTGTAAGTCTTTCCAAACTACAGCCTTGTGTGCTACATTGGAACATAATCCTGGACTTATCCCTGGATTCTTTTTCAGTTTATCATATCATGACCTTGTAATTAAAACAAGTGATAATTCAAATGTATCGCTGCTGTCGGAAAAAAAAAAAAAACATTGTATCTCCATTTTTGTTGTTTTTCGGTTTTTGACATAATTTGAAAAAATCTGTTGCCTTTTACATTGTGTGTAAATTTCATGATGAATGGACCAAAACAAATGGCCAAAAAGTACTTGGAAAAAATGTCTGGTTCTATTGACTTACATTAAAAGCAAAGCAGGTTTTGTCCTTTTCCTGTAAAGTTATTATTTTGGAGATAAGGTTTTCTTCTGACAACAGTGACACACACACACACATACACACATATGTGTATATATATATATATATATATATATATATATATATATATATACACAGTACTTTATAGACTCTTTTCAGAGATGTAGTGGAGGGTACATACCTTTGCAATTTAAAATGGTGTTTGTAAGATGAGCTTATCTCATTTTCAGTTCCACTGTACTCCACCTTCCAGTTCTATTCATGAAATATGAAATGTCAATTATACTATTGAAAATGTATCTCAAGTTGTGTCTCAAGTTGTGTTGACTTACTATTTGAAGTTCAGTAAACTATCTAGACACCACCTTTTCTGAGTTGAATTATCACGATTAATAATCGTGCACATGTGAGCATTACAGAGCCTTACCCTATAGCTTGCATTTGCCCTGCTCTCTGAAAACTGCTGTGTTTTGTTTTTTTTGGGCTATTCCCACAGTACTGGGTAGTTTTTGGGTTGCTGGGAGAGTCACTGTGACATAATAACAACCCAGCCAAAGGATGAATTACTGGCCAGTGCCAGGGGCCTCTGTATGCCAGGGGCTTCGGGGTCCACAAGACCCGAAGCTCAAGGACTAGGAACCATCCACTGCAGATGCAAAAATTGGTCCTTACATGTAATGACTAAATAAATGCCCATACATTGACACTGTGTTTAAAACCATTTAAAGCACCCAAAACACCACAGTGTGCAGAAATATAACTACAGAAGATAACAGGCTGCTGTACATCATTTGAGGATGAATCATATTGATCACAGTACATTCTTTCCACCACTGTATACAACGCTTTATTATTATTATTATTATTATTATTATTATTATCAACAATTTTTGGTAAATAATAATTTTAGTTGAGGTCAACTTATGACATTTGTGAACTGTATATTTTGAAAATGGAAATGTCTCCATGATATGGATCCTTAAAGTTGTTTTGCAGGTCTATTTTCTCAGTATTTTCAGTATTGTGCCCATGAGCCACTGGTTGGCCTCTTATCAGGCTGTCATCACTGATAGGAATCTGTAAGTAAACATCTACAAAATAAAGATGTTTTACTACTTACTACTCAGTTAAACCAATAAAGATAGATATTCTATTTCAAGTAAAAACTGCCTTATAAACTCTTTTTTGCCTGTAATGTGTGGCTGATAGGATTAACTAACATGAGCTCACTATAGCTTCCACAACAAACTTGGTTAGACTAGATTTCACATCACTACTCTTCTCTTAGTGTATATATTTATGCTTGTCATGTGTTTTGTAATGTGTTTTTTTCTAACTGTGGTTGTCTCTTACAGGTACAGGTTGGAAGAAATATCTGCAAAAAGGCCCAAAACTGAATAAGATTTGCTTTTAATTTAGCAGTTTGTCATCGCTGAACAGCACCTCTGTTTGTAGGATTCCTATTAAACTAATAAGTAGTTTGTTTTATGAAAACAATAAACACAAGGTAAAAACAAAAACTCTTAGATAGTAGCATAACAAAAATAACCCAGTGCTGAGTCAAAGTAACTACATATTAGAATAGCTCTTATAATTCAGCCTGTTGGGTTATTAATATAATACACTGATGCTGGATCAGTTTGACCCAGCATGTATTTCTCTCGTACACTGTTAGAAATAAAGGTTCTGTGCAGGTACATTTTTTGTACATGAAGGTACAGACAATGTAAATGTTCCCTCAAAGGTACAACAATGGTTTTAGGGCCCAAATGTGAACCTTAAATAAGTTTTTCCAGGTGAAAAGTTTGTATTTGTACCTTTTCACAATCAAATGTTTTAAAACAGAACAATAAAATAAAAAGCCTGGAGACGAGACGGGGTGTGTGGAGTCAATACAGCTTAGAAAATATAATTTCAGTAGATTATGGTACAATTATGTTCCCTGACTAAAGGTACTGAGATGTACCCTTGAGGGTACCACACCAGTGACAAGAGGGGCACTGCCCCACTGAGAGCTTCGTACCTTTATTTCTGAGAGTGTCTAGTGAGTCAGTGCTGGGTTATGGAATTGACCCAAATAGGGTTGTTTTTCATAGTATTTTTTGCGTGTGATGGTAATATAATTACCATACAATTACCAACTGGGCTAATGTCTAAAATTACTTAATAATTTAAAATAATGTCTATTTTCAGCACAGACTGCTAACTGTTACCATCCAGCGGGTCTCTATGTTTGTTTGATTGGAAACCAAAATACTGTCAATCTGGCAGAAGATCTACATCATAATCTTTCCAACGGGTGTTGAGTTAATTAATAATTTAGTGTTATTGATAATAAACAGAACTTGTTTTAATGATCACAATATTAGATAATCTCAAGTATCAGCCCAAGGATGGTGTGTAGGACCGAAACATATTTGTTTTGTGACTGGCCGACTAACTACAGGGCGTGATAGAGTTTTGAAAATGGCATTTGTTTTTCCCCATAAACAAAAACAGATTGGATACAGGAGTCGTCTGAATGCTGCTGACAAACTACAAAATGATGATACACCCTCAGATGTATATACACTTCAGCCAGTTCTGGTTAGCTAGCCAGCCAGCATCTGCCCCATTTTCAAAATTGTCTAGCTATGAGTGCACTGAGTGCACTGTTGAACAGTAGTGTCCATGGAGTGGGACTTGTTTTTAGACTGGAACTTGTAGACCAGTCCACCCCAAACTCTAACTGTGTTTCTCCTTATATACACACAGCATTGCCTTTGTGCAAAATAACTTTTTCTAAAATTTGCGTATTTTCATTTTCATTTCATACACTTATTTATTATTATCATGCTACCCTGAGATAACCAGGGTGGCTAGCTAGTGAAAAAACGAAAACTGTCGTGAGCTTTTATCTTAAATGTGACATAATCATAACAGTTAACATGCTACAAACTAATGCTAGCTTAGGTCAGCATTTCTCACTGCCCACCTGCTCGGCTATGTCCTCATCCCACTTAGTTAACCTTTTCATTCTTGTCTTTTCGGTGCCACCTTGATTTTTTGCTATTCTTGCCGCTCAAAATTCACATATAAAATGGCTACACTGGTAAAAAAAAAGGCAATGCACTCTGTAGAGCTCTGTTGAGTCAGCCTATATCAGAATTATACCATCGCACTGAATTTGATACACTAATCTCTCAAAGCTGATGTTAGGGTCTCATTCAAATGTCCATTCCACCTTAACTAGTGCAGCAATTATGCACTAGCATGTGTACAGATCAGAATGTAACTGCTACATTATTTAAGGTGGAATGGGAAATTCCATTTTTTTTGTATAACTTACATATCACTGTTGTTGGAAGAAAACCTCATATCTCCATTTTTGCTGTTTTTCAGATTTTGACACTGTTGTCCTTTACATTGTGTGTAAATTTCATGATGTATGGACTAAAAGAAATGACTGAAAATGACTCAGAAAAAAGTCTGGTTCCATTGACTTACATTGAAAGTAAAGTAGGTTTTTTCCTTCTCCTGTAAAGTTACCATTTTGGAGATACAAGGTTTTCTTCCAACAACAGCGATATACTAAAACCATAACCACTAGTAAAAAGAATTGTGTTTAATACACACCTGAATGGTGTAAATGTCCCATCAAACCCTCACTGCCCTTTCCTCTCTCCTTACCCCTCCTGTTTTGTGTGGCTCTTGTCAGCCTTGGAAAAAAAACAACCCTGCGCGTGATCCATGTCTCTGTTTGGCTAACCCAATTCCACACTTTTTCCCATTTAATGTTCAACCCCTGCGCTGGACTCAGGTCAGCGGCCCCAGCCTGTCTTCCCCTGCCTCTCCCTCACCGCTCCTATAGGCAAACACACCCTCATTCTTCTAAGAGGCTCTCACCACGGACAAGCCACAGCCTTACATCAGCCCTTTCCTGTTTAATAATGCCATGTATTTCTTTTTTTTAACTTTTAAGTACTATGGTTTATCTTCATTCACTGCTTTGATGAAATATGGCGTTCATTTCCTGTCAAAAGGATTCGTACATAAATACAGATCTGATTTTCTGAACTGCAGTTCTGTAATCAGATTCGTAGCTTTGTGAATATAATCTTTGTATAATCATAACACTGCAGCGGTGTAACTACTGGGGGGGCAGGGGGACAATAGCACTGTGGCCCATGGTGCAGGGGGGCCCGCAGTGATCAGGCTCCCTAAAATCTCCTCATATAGGCTCCTCATATAGATTCTGACAGAACTTCCATCAATACTACACAGACAGCGTTGACATCTATTTATCTCTCTCTTATGTATAACTCATCTATTTCATGGTAACTGTTTTCATATAGACTCTTTACAACTTGCAGCATGATATATTCATTATTTATAATGTTACAATCTTAGGAGTAGAATGCTGGACAGGATCAATTTGTTTGAGACAATGAATAAACACTTTATCTGTTCTGAGACTGATACCATTATTAAAACTTTGATTATTTACCAATACCTGCTAGTTTCTTTGATTAATTAACGATCTGCTAGTTCCTTTTTTAAAAACTACTACTGCTTTAAAATTAGCTATTCTTAATTTAAGTGCTTCAGTTACAATTAGTATCTAAAAGTAGGCTGTCAGAACCTCCAGTACTCCAAAACCTCTACTACTCCACAGGACAAAATACACAGCTGACAGTGCCATCTCAAAACGTGAGCAGGGGCTATTTCAGACTAGATTTGTTGCAGGATTGGATCTGATTTAAGCTCCTTCTCCCTTCAAAAGACCATCCAGCATTTTCTGTTAATATCGGACTGATACTTAATTAAATGTGATGTGATCATGACAGTCAACATGCTACAACCTAATGCTAGCTAAGCAAGTTTAGGTTAGCATTTCTCACTGTCCACCTGCTCGGATATGTCCTCATCCTCCTTAGTAAACCTTTGTCATTCTTGTCTTCCCGCTGCCACCTTGCTTGAATGCAGTTCTTGCTGCTGCTGCTGTCTTTCTTCGCAAAATTAATGTATAAAATGGCTGCATCGATAAGGCAAAAAAAGCTATGAATTCTGTAGAGCTTTGCCTGTTTAGTCAGCTGGTATCAGAATTACACCATCGTGCTGAATACTCCAAAACCTCTACATCTTCACTGGACGGGATATTTCAGACTAGATTTGTTGCAGGACTGGATCTGATTGATGTTCTTTTTCCCTCTAAAAGACCATCCAGCATTTTCTGCTAATATCGGCCTGATACTGATACCTGATATCGGACACAACAAATTACATTGTCGTTTTTATTCATTAAAAGCAATTTTTGTATGGGGGGCATTTTTTATTTTGCACTGGGGCCTGTAAGTTCCATTACTGTGAACGCTACAAACTACAAACCCTAACTTAAAGCTGCGTAACCACAAACTCATCCCACAGCTGCATTCGATTCACAATACTGGGCTCACAATGCAATATTTTCACTGTTCTTTGAACAAAATTAAAATGTAGAACAACGCTGGCATGTGGGAGTCAGGAGGCAGGATGAGAGCTGTTGACTGTTACTGATGGTTTGCAAACCTAAGACTGGTGTTCAAACACTGCAGTTGCATTAGATGGCATAATTCATAATGTCTGTTCTCCACATTGCACACTGCCAGTTTTCATTGCATCATCATATTGTCACAAGGCATCGTTACACCCTACTAAATGATGTCTTTCACAATGTTCATGCTGTGATAACTTTGGAAAGCAGTTCAGACACAAATGGTAGTGGTGATCCATGGCCATTAAAGCTAAGCCTACAGTTCGGGACATAAATGTCAGTCAAAAACAAGGAAAACAAGACAAAAAAACATCTCAAGACAAAAAACATGCTTGTTTCTGCACCCTTAAGGGTTTCTGGTGTCATGTTAGTGCTGAGTTTATAGAAATTCTTTTGGCTTTTCTAGACTAAATGTGGAGATCTGAAGCTTGCAAAAGACAGGACATGTTTTATTTGAAGAACAGACTTTAATGATCTGTAACAGACTTTACCATATATTTTACCATGTGTCTTTTAATAGAAAGCTCTGGCATAGAGGAGAAAGTCTCAGTCTTTAACAGCTGATCATGCGTGCTCCAGTGTTGTTGGAATGGAAACCTGCAGCCACACCAGCCCCTTGTGGATAAGACTGGACACCCCTGCATTAGGCCTTCCGTTCAGCTCCTGAAGTCCTAACCAATGAGAGACCACGTTTGACTGAGCCCATCTAGATCTCACAGAGTATTTCTTTTTCTTTCACAGAAATCATTACTCCTTCTCTGAAGGCATAGAAAGGCCCTAATGGTTCGCCACTGACAGATGGAGTTTTTGAGTCACGGCTACAAACTATTAAGCGGTTATCCATAAATCATGAAGCGAGATGTAATGTACGGACTACAGGTATGAATAATCACTCGTAAATGTCACCTGGAAAACGTACATACGAGATATGTGTTACAAATCAAGTTACAGATTGATCAATCTGATTATGGATTTGCCATTCATGAGATTACATACTCGTCGTTGCATTCACTTTTGACAGGAAATCAACCCCATAAATGGATGAATTGATTTTCTTGAGTTAGGCCTGATAGGCCTTTTTGATAAAAGCGAGCTGGCATTGCTGTAAAGTACTTAAGATATCGCTTTCCACTGAATGTACAATACAAGCCGAACCCATTTTCTTGTTGCATTTTGTCACGTTGTCATATCAATAAATCACACAGGGGAGTGTGGGGGGAGAGTGTGCCTATGTATGTGTGTGTGCCTGAAAGAGAGCATGAGAGAGAGAGAGAGAGAGAGGCATTGGGTGACTGTGGTACAAAAATACAGTTGTTTACATCTTGGAAATGGGCCCATATGCACTAATGACTAGGACACACACACACTCATTAACTCCACATAAGCTGCCTTGTTCAAACACACTGCTGCCACATGACGCTTTGCACCGCGGAGCAAAAAAAAAACACCTTAACACTCCTTTCCATTTGGTTTGAAAGACAAATTGCACTTTTCCTGAAAATGTCACTAAAACAAATCTGAGACCCAATGCTCTTTTAGCTGTCGGTGGTCCGCTCATGACTCTACTATAGCAATATTCACTGACCCAAGACACTTAAAAGCACTTTGAAACTACTCCCAGTTTGAAAAGCCATTAATTGTCTAATATTCTGCTCAGTGTTCTTTTAAGTTAGATGAGTGTGTTCTAGCTTTGCTCTTATCTGGCAGTAGCTGACAGTAATGGTATATATAATGATGGTAATGAGGTAAAGTGTAGTCACTGGTTAATGTCACATGTTAAGTTAGGTAATGTGTCCTTTTGGACTTTGCAATGTGGCCGCTTCACATTAATTCACATAAACAGACCTTAAACTAGGTGCATTCATAGAGGTGAATGGCTACTGAACTGTCACTTATTAAAATGTGAACCAGATGTCTGACGAGCCACCTCACAGAAAGGTAGTATATGAAATGGTTATAAAGAGTATAATATTTTGTCTGATCTGACTTTGTTTAATTTGGGCAAAATATTACCAAATGAAAGCTTATTTTCTCAAATTTACCACTATTTTAAAGCTGCAGTGTGCCATGCTTTTTGGGCTAAAACTGAAAGAAGCAGCATGCTGTGAGTCACGTTAAAAACATTCTAATTTATTTTATTTATGGTCTGTGTGTGCTGCTGCGATTTACCTTGTAAAGCCTGAAAAAACATGAAAAAAATCTGATTCGTTGGGTCACATTTTTGTTTTTTCTTCATGTATTAACGTCACATGCAGAGCCTCAAAAAGAAAGTTTGGCTTAATGTTCAAATGCAAAATCAACATTACATTGAAGTTATGATGACAATAGTAGATACGTCACTCATGTCTTTGGAAAAAGCGTCTTTCACCAAGTTTTGTGTGCATTTTCACATTTCTACCAGAGAGGTCTCCAAATCCCCAAAACTTACATAGTGTACACTCTTAAAAAAGATGGTTCTTTAAGCGTTCTTTAGTAAAGTAAATGGTTCTATATAGAATCATGAACACTGAAGGAACCCTTTGTATGATTAAAGGGTTTTTTGCATGGTGAAATTGTTCTTTATGGTGATGAAGAATGTGTTATATGTGGTTCTATATAGAGGCTTTTTGAAAAGCAACCTTACATAGACCCATTCTCAAGAACCATCTAGAGCACATTCTCCATCAATCCAAGAAATGTTTTAATCATTCAAAGCATTCTTTGAGTGCTCAAGGTTCTAACTAGGACCACTTACTTTACTAAAGAACCCTTAAAGAACCATCCTGTTTGAGTAGTGTAGCTTTAACTTCATCAACATTACATATCGCCGCAGTCGCAACAAAATCTCATATGTTCAAATTTGTAAGGAAATAACTTTCCCAACTTTGAACAGAAGTTAATTAAACTAGATTTATTTTGGAACATTTCTTCAACAATGGGATTTAAATTTAAATGGAGATACAAGGTTTTGTTCTGATCATGACAATAAAAATCTCAGACGGCACTTTTAGGTGCACTGTTCATTTTGTATAGTCAATAAAATGAATATATTTGCATTGTAGACATCACGACCCCTGGTTCCTGTTACCGCCTCTCTACAGTAAATCATTTCATTTCAATCTACACTGTAAAAATGGCTCATCAGATCAACCTAAAAACTGACTTCATGTGGTAACAAGTAAATTGATTAGTTTTATTCAACCTAAATAAATATTTTAAAAATTTGAATAAATTATTCTTTCAATCAGTGTCATTTTTTGAGTTAATAAAACTAGTTCAACTGCCTTTTATTACATAACTACATAATTATTTTAGGTTGATCTGATGAGCCATTTTCCTGCATTATGTAATCATATGTAATAACCGGATTACGGTAATGACATTTTTGTAAAGGAGAGCTGGAATTTTAAAATGGTGTTAAATAAATAAATACATACATACATAAATAAATGGCCAAAAACCTGAATGACAAGTGTTGCATATTTTATAATGTCTGACAATGTGGCAACATT